CTGGCTTCAGGATTAAACTAGATGGGTTTATGAAGGGGATGGTTTGATGAGAACATGATCTTGGTAACTAATTGACCATTCATTATCAGTGGGAAATAGGTCAATGGAGGGATGATAGGAGTTACTATAGAGAACTTTCTGGGTGTCTGGCTGATGAGTCTTGCCCACATGCTCAGGGTTTAGCTGATCGCCATATTTGGGGTCGGGAAGGAATTTTCCTCCAGGGTAGATTGGCAGAGGTCCTGGAGGTTTTTCGCCTTCCTCTGTAGCATGGGGTACAGATCACAGCTAGAGGATTCTCTGCATCTTGGGGTCTTCAAAGTATTTGAAAGTTTCAATATCTGAGATATAGGTGAGAGGATTATTCTAGGACGGGTGGGTGAGATTTTGTGGCCTGCACTGTGCAGGGGGTCAGACTAGATGATCATAATGGTCACTTCTGACCTTAAAGTCTATGAGTCTATGAGCAAGTATTGCCAGAAGTCTAGAGAGAAAGTTACTTGTTTTTCTCTGTAACGTTTGTACAGATTCTTCCACCATTTGAGCATAAGTTTCATTAATGACATAACCATATTTATATCTCATGGAGCTTAAGAGGAGAAGTGGGACAAAAAAGAGCAGCAGTGTAGGTCAAAGGGTAATTTTACTTAGAGGTTTTTTTCATGTCATCAACAACATTTAGATTCACAATGGGAAGAGCAAAGTGAATACAATAGGGATTGTATAGGAAAAAACGAGTTCACAAGTGCATTTAAAGGTTGAGTGAAAACACAGACCTAAAGAAATTTAAGTGGATGAAGTCAGGTAACAAATATAGGGAGGGATTTGCAAAAACATTTAAGTGATTTAGGAATAGAAGTCCTATTTTGCTCCTCACGTACCTAGATGCTTTGGAAAAGGCCACAGTAGTCTTTTTCTGTATTTGAAATGACTTGACTTACTGCAGTTTTTGTCACACAATGAAATCTAGATGTTTCATATAATTAATAAACTGTGGTTACACAGACTGCGCATATATTTACAACATATTTATTTGGACAAAAATTGTTAACTTTTACTCCTGGAGCAGTTCCATCAAAGCAGCATTATTTCAGGGAAATGTACTTTTACCATTAACTCGACTTTACGGAAGATAAGTCAAAAGCTGAAGGGGTTACTGTTAAACAGACCATAAGAATAAAAGAACGGCCATACTGGATCAGACCAAAGATTCATCTAGAACAGTGTTTCTCAACCTTTTTGTATAACGTACCCCTTTAAAAAAAATATGATACACACACACACACACACACACACACGTACCTCCAGTACCTACAGTTTTCAGACACACCAAATGTTTTTCTACCATTGCAACACATTTGTTTAAATAACTTAATCATAGCTGGGTGGGCAATGAAATTTTTTGGTGTAAAAAGTACAAAAACAATAACACATTGTAACACTTAAAACAAAAATTCAATTTTCTCCAAATTTCAGTTGTGTTGACGCACTTCCCCCCCAGACTTCTCTCAAGTGCCCCTATGGGTACTCGTACCACTGGTTGAGAAACACTGATCTAGAGTATCCTGGTTTCTGACATGGCCAAGGCCATATGCTTCAGAGAGAATGAACAAAACAGATACACATCAAGTAAGTGATCACCCATTCCCAGCTCATTCATTAGTGAATTTAGGAGTGGCAGGAACTATGTTTATAAAGCAGAGGTTAGATATTCCTATCTGTCCAATAGTTCCACCCCTAACCTCAATAGTCTGATTACTAGGGGAAGGTGTGGTCTCAGTGGACAGGGCATAAAACAAGAAGGCTTGAGTTCTAATCCAACCTCTAGCACTGATTTGCCTGTGATGTGGGCCAAATCACATAGCCTAGCTGTAAAATGAGATCATAATATTTATGTGCAAGCTTTAGAGTGGTGGGAGGATTAGTTTGTTAATGTTTGCACTGAAGAATGAGAAGTAGTATGACTGTGCTACACAACATAAGGGAGATGGAGATGCCACAGTCATGAGCCTGGATCCCTGCTCCTCAGACAGATTGTATTTGGCAGCTTAACTTGCACTGCAGGAAAGAAAAGTGTCTGAGCTGCCACAGCAGCAGCCACTGCCAATTGTAGAAGCAGAAGGAGATGAATATCATAGTGAGAATTCAACTCCAATCCTGTAGCTCAAATATTTCAGGTTGACACAGCACTTCATGAAAGGTAGAGAACAAGGAAGCACCTTCCGGGGGACTGATGTTGAGACCTCCGCATCAGGAGTAGTTGTGGGTAAGACACTAAGGATGCAGGTGTGTGGGGATGGGAAAATAAGCTACCTGTTGGTGAAACCAGAGCTCTCAGCCGTCAAACTCCGTCATCTGAATTCTTGACCTGCCTCATCAGAAGACACATTGCTCTGAGTAGCAAGCTACTCTCGCAGACTTTGCCAGATTGATGATGTGGATGTCACAATAAATACAGAGCCTCATAAGAGCACTGTATTGATCTCTGGCAGCCTGACACCGAAGAGTAAATGGACATCGGACTCAGATTCCCAACCTCCTGTCCACAGCACTTCTTGCTGCTTCTCCATGATACACATCAATCAGATACAGGTGCTCACTTCCACAGACGTGACACACTTAGCAAGTAATGGATACACAAAGGAGGAAAAAAGGAAAGAAAATGCAGTGGCTTCAGAAAAGCCACCAATATGGTAACTGAGCCCAATAACAGGTTCTTTTTCTATGGCTACGTCTTCAATGAAAGATCTTCCAGCAGAAAATATGCTAATGAGGGACTCAGTAGCATAAGTCATGATGTCATTAGTATATTTTCTGCCATTTCGTTTTGTGCAAGGGGTTTCTGCGCAAAAAGCAGCAGTGTGGACGGGTTTTTGTTTTTTTTTTTTTTTTTTATGCCTGTCCAGGGTAAGAATCTTGCACAAAATGGGGTTTTTGCACACACACAAAAAGTCCACACTTTTTTTTGCGCAAAAAGAAATGGCAGAAAATATACTAATGAAGAAATAGCCTATGGGTACATCTAGACTACATGCCTCTGGCGACAGAGGCATGTAGATTAGACTACCCGACATAGGAAAATGAAGCGGCAATTTAAATAATCGCTGCTTCATTTAAATTTAAATGGCTGCCGCGCTGAGCCAATCAGCACGGTAGTCTGGACGCTCCGTGGTCGACAAAGGCATTTGTCGACCTCTCAGGTATACCCCAGGAGGCATACCTGGGAGGCCGACAAATGCCTTTGATGTCGACTGTGGAGCGTCCAGACTACCACGCTGAGCAGACAAATAGCTGATCGGCTCAGCGTGGCAGTCATTTAAATTTAAATAAGCGGTAATTATTTAAATCGCCGCTTCATTTTCCTATGCCGGGTAGTCTAATCGACATGCCTCTGTCGCCAGAGGCATGTAGTCTAGACGTACCCTATGAGAAATTACAAACATCTTGTTCTCTGACGTAATCATTTCAATAACCTACCTGCTCACATGAACCATCAGACAGCATACAGAAACGTCGTAACATGCATCCACAAATCAAAACCACAGCAGGTACAACAGTTCTAAATTTTAGAGCTAGTAGTCTGGATAGTGTCCTTCCAAATAAGTAGCAAGATATTAAAGGGGGGAAATCCTTTTGTTTTTGTTTCTTTGGTTATTTTGAATTAAAAAAAAAAGCAAGTACATGAAAATCAAACATTTAATGTACAGGCAGTCCCCGGGTTACGTACAAGATAGGGACTGTAGGTTTGTTCTTAAGTTGAATCTGTATGTAAGTCGGAACTGGCGTCAGCCGCTGCTGAAACTGATCAGTTTCAACAGCGGCTGAA